GGGCCTGGCAACCGCAGGGGGAGAAAGACCCCTGCCCCCCCCCCGACCCCACAGACCCCCCCGGGGACAGAGAGCCGCCTCCCCCCGGAGCTCCGGCCGTGGCCGTCAGCCCCGCAGGGGACGAGACGCCGCTCCCACGACCTGACCCCGACACCAGCCCTGCCAGCAGCCGCTGGTTGCGGGCCGCGAGCCAACACGCCCCGCTAAATCCTAAAGGAAACGTGGAACCGGGTCCGGTCTCCGCTGCCGATTCCACAGAAATAGAAACTGGCTCCAGCGGGGCCCTGCGAGACGGAGCCTCTGCCCCTTCTCCACCGGCTTTCATGCCCCCCCCAGCGTCCCGCCAACCCGGGGAGCAGTCGTGCCTGCGGCTGGGGCTCGCTGCCGTCCTGCTCGGGGCCAGGCGTAGGGCGTAAAGCGCGTAATATGAGGAGCAAGGCAGCTTTTGAGGAGCCAAAGTCATCGCTGAGCAAGAGTAAAAAGGCTCCAGTTCTGGCAGGGGCAATGCGTAAGAGCAATAAAACAGAACAAAACCACAGCAGAAGCAACTTCCAAGAGCGGTGAGTACAGAGGAAGCTGGAGAGTGCAGGAATGGGTGAAAGGGGATCAGGATTGACAAGACAGCTAGAACGGGGGGCGGGGGGGGGAACAAAAACAAACCATTGTTTTGTTTTGGGGTTTTGTTCTGGTTCTGTTTGTTTGGGGTTTTTTTCCTGGTGGCAGGTAGGGGGGTGTCCCAAACACAGGAGACTCAAAGCATCCACCTTCAACTCAGCCAAGGTTTGAGCAGCTGCCAGCAGCAGCCGCAGCTCAGGCAGTGCCCAGCAGGTGACTGCCCAGCCGAGGCACTCAAGCCCTGGCTTAAACTCGCCTTGATGCTAAAACCCAGGCGATACCAGCTGAGAAGATCTTGGGAGATGGAGGAAAATGCTGCCCAAGCACACAGCAGGCAGAGCTGACACCAAACACCACCAAAACTCAGGTCCTTTGCTCACCGCAGTCTGAGCAAGAGAATTTTTTGGCCCAGGATAAGTTTATTTTCAAATTGAAATCAGATCAAAGTAACAGGGGACAACAGACCCAACAAAGTCGGACACAAAGATCCCAGCTCACGCAGGCACTGCTGTCCCTGCTGGAGGGGACACTAGGCTACACAGCCTGCGGGGCTGAGCTTTGCAGACAGGTTGGACCCCCCAGACCTGCCTGCAGGGTGGCCGTGGGGCCATAGCTGAGCAGGGGGCTTGATCAGGTGCCTATACTTTCCCCCTGGCTCTGACAGGTCCCAAAACCAGGGCAACCCCCAAAGCCCTTCTCAATCCCTCCACTGCAGGCTGGGACTGGCTCTACCTTCGTGGGTACTGACACATCACCAGCTCTCCAGCACCCCACGTCCCTCACCAGCCACGCACCCAAACCTTCACTGCTGCCATCTTAGAAGGGTCTGCCTAAATGTGCTTCAGGCCAGAGAGACCTAGAGCAAGTCAGTCACCTTTTTACACACACAGGTACCTACCTTGAAGAGATGAGCGCACCATGCAAGAGGGGTAGTAAAAGGCTCCTTGCAGAGCCTCTCCCAGGCTTCTCTTTTCCAGAATTAACTCTGCTTAAGACCGTCCTCCGTTCCCCCCAAGATTGTTTTCCAGCCCTCTGAACCCTCTTTTCATTCTCCTCCAGACTCTCCACCCATTCCATGTCATTCAGCAGTCAGCCTGAAGTGATGCAGGCAAGACACAGCTCATGTTCTGCAGGCATTTGCCTTGCTCGCTGCCCTGGCGATCGGCACCGCTTTCATCCCACCACCGCCTCACCCCACCGCAGCCCTCCCCTGCGGCAGTGGCCCATCGCCTGAGAGCTTGCCCCAAACATTTCAGAGAGGTTAGGCACATCCATCACCCCAAGCTCCGCACCTGAGCTCAGCCCTCCACCCTGAGCTGCAATAGGGAGGAAAATGCTCAGAAGCCAGTTGTGTTAACAAGTGTGCACAGCAGTATACTTTATTCCCTAAAGACATGTTTTTGACCAGGCCAGGTACTTCTCAGCCTGAAGCAACTGGAAGTTGGAAACACCACAGATTTGAACAGTACAGAGTGCTGTAGCAAGGTACCTCACCAAGTCTGTTCCTGGCAGCTTGAACAGCCCTGCTACAGCCATGGGGCAAGAGGGGATCTCCTGTCCCGTGTCTCCAAGCTGAAGAACTGCAGACAGGTTCTGCCCCATCAGTCGCCCCCTCTCCTGAAGGGAAGCAGTTCTCCAGCACTTCTTCAGGCCATTCCAAACCCTCAAATCACTAGGCAAACCAGTTACAAGAGAACAAAAAACCCTACAAGCTCATTAAAAAAATAGAAATTCATAAACGAGTTTCACACCAACACATGCCAAGAAGAGAGTTCACATCAGCACACCAATGTCCCCGTTTGCAAGCAGGGCAGGGGGTCAGCCCCAACACCCTCCTCCCCAGGTCAGCAATTTCAGTGCCAAGCCTGCAAAAACGCAGTGGACTTCATGGCCCAAGCCAGGGCAAGGCAGAACATCCCCCAGGCTTGTCTGTGTGTCTCCCCAACCCACACAGGCCTGCAGCAGAGAGAAGGTATTTAATTTGATGATGAACATACAGCGACCCTACAGCAACACAGGCCAGGGCTGCCCTGCCCTGTGCACACTTCTTCCTCCAGGAAACCTTCTTGGAACTATTTACACCAGGCACAGATCTGGTCCAGGTCCCTTCTCCCTGCTCTTGCTCCAGACTGACATCCCAGATATCCTTCCTGCACCCCTGGCTTGCAGCTGCATCTACAAAGTGCAGTTCCACCTGATGTGAGAGCAGTCAACAGCAGCAGCAAGTGTAGAGCACTGAGCAGGCCAGAAGATGAAAAAACCTTGTTTATTCTTCATGAAAACAGGAGGAAGGAGGGGTAAAACAACAGGGGGGTAAATCAGTCCAAGCATTAGCCAGAGGCTTGGTCTCCTGTCGGCTTATTGCAAGGCTGGCATTCTCCCCAGGGCAGCTCATCTCACCCACAACACAGTGCCGGTGCTTTGCAAATAGCCCTCCGCACAGCAGTGGTTGCACATTGCTTCGTGCCAGGCTCTAGGCGAGTGCTCTGCCCTGCAGCCACCCTGCCCAGCTGCTCCCCGGGAAGGCAGGGGCTCTCACTGCAGGAAACTGTCCAGTCTGGCTTGGCTGCTGCTGGAGGAAGATGCCAAGGATGCTGCAGACGCCGGCCTGGAGACATTCTTCTTCTTGCTCCTCGCTGCTAATGGGCGGATTTCTGCCAGGTTTGTCTGAAGGTAAAACTGTCAAGGAAAGTACAGACCAAGGCCCTGGGGACAGAAGTGATCCAACACCTGCTGCAGACTAGCCTGAACCACAGACCTGGGACCTAGCCATACATTTGCACCCAAAGAAAAACTCCCTGCAGGATGGGCTGGGCTTTGCCCCCTACTCACAGCAGCAGAGCTCAGGCACGCTCCTGTCCCACAAGTCAAGGAATGCTTCCCACTTCTATGCTACCCCCTTGCACATAAAATAGCATTTAAGCATATCCACCAGAGCTTTGGGATCTACCCTGCACATCAGAGCCACAACACCATGCAGGGAAAGGCACAGCAGCCAGAGCCTGCAGCCTTCCAAGGCAGTGACCCCAAGAAAAGAGCCCTTAGAGCAGCAAGTCCCTTTTAGCTCCCACACCATTCACAGACACAGAACTGGCAAAAACGAAACCTGCAGCACTGAAAGGCAGGCGCAGGCCATGCTAGCAGAACTGCGGTTACACAAACCAGCACACCTGCAGCACTCAGGCTTAGAGAATTGAGCTGCTCCTCCATCAGCCATGTCTGAGGGGCAGCACTGGGATGGCTGCCCACCTTCTTGTATTGGGTCTGGCTGAGATGGAGTTAATTTTCCCCACAGTGGCCCTCATAGTGCTGTGCTCTGTATTGGTAGTTAGAAAAGTGTTGATAACACACCAGTTTTGGCAACTGCTGAGCAGCACTGGTGCAGCATCAAGGCTGTCTCTCCAACATTCTCCTCACCTCACTCAGTAGGCTGGGCATGGGCAAGATCTTGGGAGGGGACATAGCCAGGACAGCTGACCCAAACTGACCAAAGGGGCTTTCCATACCAGATGGTGTCTGCTCAGCAATAAAAGCTAAGAGAAAGGAGGAGGAGAGGGGGCATTTGTTATTATAACACTTGTCTTCCAGAACAACTGCTACAGATACTGAAGCCCTACTTCCCGGGAAGTGGACAGACATTGCCTGCTGATGGGAAGTGGAGAATAAATCTTTTGTTTTCCTTTGCTTTCATGCACAACCTTTGCTTTTGCTTTATTAAACTGTCCTTATCTCAGCCCACAAGCCTTTTGTTATATGTTCTCTCCCCATCCAGTTGAGGAGGGAGAGTGATCAAGTGGCTTTGGTAGACACCTGGTGTCTAGCCAGCACCAACTTGCCACCCTTCTCCATTCACCTCAGGCTGGCAGCATGGGCACACCTGGCCCCAGAGATCTGGGTCAGGCATCTCCCCTGCCATTGGGTACCTCCACAAAAGCAGCCACCTGAGGCTTCCCAGCAGGTCACACCTTCCAGCTAATCACTTCTTCTCTGCTTCAGCCTCCTGGTTTTCTACAAAGAGCAAAAACCCCTCAAAACCAGCACCAGGAGCTAGAGCAGTATCGGAGCCATAGCTGTACCACATACTGCCTGGGGAAGGCAGGTGAGGGGCAGCCCCCACAGGGGACAGCACACTGCTCCTGCGTGAGGAGTGGGAGAGCTCCCCACCTGCTGGGTGAGCTCAGCCCAGCCGCTCCTCACCTGCTGCAGGGCTGCCCACCAGGACAGGCACAGCAGGGCAGCAGTGTCCCACAGGAACGAAGGCTTCAGCTGCATGGGCTGGCAGGCACACAGCCAGCAAGCGGCCGTGCTACGCTGCTGCTCAGAGATCCCAAGGGTATAGGCAGTCCCTGCAAACTGTACTGATTTCTAGTTGATATGCTCCTCTGAATGAGCCACCTCTGATAATGCTCTCGGCAAGTTCAGGTCCTTGATGCCTTTGCTGAGCTCAGACTTGCTTAGTCAGATAGAGAGAAATATGATTGTTCCTTGAGGATCCCAGCTCATTTTTTGATGACAGGGGGGCAGGACTCCCCAGGATGGCTGAGACCAAAAAGGAGGAACAGAGATGAGGTCCCCACAGCATCACTACTGCCATGTGAGCTGCAGGAAAGGATACAGGCTGTATGAACTTTGTTCTGCCTCCCAAGCCATCGTATCCCATTCTCACCTAGGAGAGAGAAAGAAATGAGTATGGAGAAGCAGCACAGAGCCTTGGCTACCTCTCTTTGTGCTGGTTATGGGGAAGGGGGGAGCCTTGCAGGCCACAGCTTCTGGGGTGGGGTTACAAGCACCTGGAAACACTCAATACTTGTGCTAAGCTCTCACCTTTGGAAAAAGACAGACCCAAGGGTATTAGTAAAGTTTGGGTATCTTGGGAACTTTCTGAAGGAAGTCGAGCCTTCCAAGCAACAGCAAGGCTTTGGATTTTGTCAGTGGGACTGAGGAATACAAGGAAAACACCCAAAGCTCCAAGGAGGTGGAGGAATGGGACATGGAGGGCCGTTTAGTCTGTTGCCAGGAAGGGAATGAGCATCTGTCATCCCTGGAGCTCTGCAGGACTGGGAAGTAGCCAGGTTGTGCTCCAAGATTTGTTTTCCACATACTGTACATGGCAAGGTAAAAGCCTCATTTGCTTCCTCCTGCAGGGTCACTTCAGGACAGAGGTGTGCAGTGCCAGGCCTCAACAAGCTCACCAACTGGACAGTCGTACTTACAGTGCCCGTGTTCTTGTGGGGACCCAGCAAGCTACCCGAAGCTGGCTTCTTGGAGAGAACAGAGTTCCTGATGAATGCTGGCAAGAGTCCTTTAAGAGCATCATCCTCCAGATCATCTGCCCAGTTCTGTCCCACAAAATAATGAGAAAAGCCCTTTAACCAGCATGATCTGCTGAATTTGGTCCACATACAGGGAGCACTAACAACACAGACAGCTATTTAGGGTAATGGTTACTGCTGTACCACATGTCAGGCCAAAGAACAGCAGCTTCCAGCCTCCCACCAGGGCTCATGTGGAACAGCGCCTGGAAGGCAGGACATTCCACCTAGCAAGGCTGGAAGAATGGCCCCCTTAGCTGACCTCACAGCCCTTATGGTCAGCCCCACGTTGAGTTTGCCAAGCACATCTGAGGCAGGATAATCAGCAAGAAGCACATGGATCCCCACCCTCCCTCTCCCGCCCAATTCCAAGAGGCCTGAGGCAGCAGTACAGTGTTTCTAGGAGACTGTCAAGCAAAGCACTTTGAAGCATGTACTGTGGTTCTATAGATTGGACGGTTTACAGTCATACCATCTCCAACATGGAGAAAATGGGTCCTTTATCCCAAGCTTATTAACAGCAGAATCAAAGAGGTCATAGAGAAAATCAAGATTAGTCCTTTTACCTCCACTGTTTCCTTCAGAACTTTCTTTGCCAGATTTACCACAGGAAGTCTGTAAGAAGCCCAAGGAGCAAATCAGCAGAGATTTATTGTTCAAGTGGAGCTGGCAAGGACAGACAAGGCCAAGCAAATGACGACAAAACTTGCAGCACGACATCAGGCAGCTGGAGAGCTATCTGATCTCACACAGCAACTTCCAAAGAAGTGAGACTTTGATCTCCTTTAGAAGCAGAAAGAGGAGGGAAAACTCACGGCTTTTTATCCAGCTTCTGCCTTTTTGCAGGGTTGAAGAGAGATCTGCAGGGCTCGTGTTCAGGGGTGTCCACATCAAAAGTAGCATCCAGATTGATCTCATCACTGTGGGCCGGACGGTGGAGCTTCGGGTGCCGCAGTTCTACGGGAGCAGGGCTGCAAGGCCATGCAAAGTGTCAGCCATCAGGAGGCCACTGCCTGCCACCCAGCAGATGAGAGGAAGACAGAACTGGACACTATGCGACTGAGTTGCAAGACAGCAGTGGGACCAGGATCAGAGACCCATTCTGCTTACAAGTATAAGAAAGGACAATCTGAATCCCAGAGTTTATAGTCAATGTCCCAAACTACTGTTCACCCTCAAATGGCATGTGCTATAACAGCAGCACCCAGAGCACAGGCAAGCATGCTGGCACACTGCTGCTCTGTGTACACAACCCAGCTTGCTGTACTGGGGTAATAGCACAGCCTCCTCACAAGAAAGGGCTTGATAAAAATGTAAAAGATGCCATTTTTCAGGCTAGGTTCCTCTGCCTGGCTAAGATCTCCAGGCACACTCACTGGAAGGCCAACTCCAAGGCAAATAGAAGAGCAGCTTTAGGGATACTTCCCTGGCAGGACATAGTGACAAAGAGTTTGTCAAAACCTAGCCCATTCTTCCATCCCATGCTGACACAAACCCTCCAAAACACACACTTTTTCCAGGTAAACCAAACAGCACCTTGTCAGCAACAAGAAAAAAACCGAAGTAGGATACAAGGAGCAAGAAGACCATGCTACTGCAATGCCTGCCAGACTAGCATGTCTGTTTCCCCAGCTAGTTAAACTGTCAACTCTTACTTTTGATCTGCCATCTCCATCCTTGGCCTGTATCTGAGGATGCACTTCACTAACCTTTCAAAGACTAGTCGACTGAGTGTCTCTCTGGTTACAGATGGGACCTTCAGAGTATCCTGCAGGATGTCTATCTTTTTCTTCAAACTCTGGAGGGAAAAAGGAAAGCAGACAGCAAGACAAGGAAAGATTTAGTAGCAGATACCTTGCCCCTTTTCCATAAATCAGCATCAGGTGGAGCTCAGAGGGAGGGCAAATAAGAGAGGTAAGGTGGGCTGGGTAACCTGGTCACTGAGCAAAAGCCAGCATAACTCCTGGCTTTGCAGCTGCAGGCCATGGCCAGCTGCCAGTTACTGCAGACTGGCGAATGATACTCACCAAGATCTCCTTGTCTGCATTCTTCAGATCCTTCTGGGTACTTTTTAACTCCTCCTTTGTCTTCTCCAACTCTGAAACATTTTTATGCAGCTGCAGAATAAACCCCCCCCCCCGAACAGCAGCGTGCTGGTTACAACACATAGATAAGGGAGACTGCAGATCCCCTGTGAGAACAGTATGCTCTGCAGCACATGCTACTTTCCGCTGTTTAAGGGCTCAATTTTCCTGTGGCAGTCTGACCAATCTCTCCTGTATCAGAGCAACCGAACGCCTGCCCATTTCCTCGAGCTGCCTGCAGAGGGATCTCCAGGGCTGCTTGCCCAACACAAACCTTCCTATAGCATTTCCCAAGCATTTATGCCTGATGGTGACAGCTTTTCCCCGCTCTAACACTTGGTGGCTGCATTCTGAATTCCTGCAGGACTTTGGACACACCAGAGCACAGGAATTACAAACCACAGGCTGGAGGATGGTTATGCATCAGCAGTACTGGCACATGGACAAGCCTGATTCAACAGGGAAGCATGCCAGAACCGGGGGTCGAGAAGTGGACTGATACCACATCAGAGACTTGTGGGTTCAGGAGTCTGGGCCAGCCCACAAAGTGTCGGTACAGTCACCTCTCCGTCAGCCAAGCCTGGAGCCCTGAGTGCACTGACTCGTATCCTCCTGACCCAAGCTGGTGTGGTGATTGCAGCTTGGCACTGACTCAGCCAGAAGCAGTGCGATTCCAGCAGCAGCACCTCATGTAAGGGGTTAAACTCACTTGGGGAGTAGCACAGCAATCTGAGAACCTCCCTCTCCATTTGAGGGGACCACAACAGCTATGGCTGAGTAAGAAAAATAGGCCAAAGCCACCCACAGTCTCTCACTTTGTGAGCTTGGACTTGGGGATGCTCCAGGGAACACCTGCGCCTTGGAGAACAAGGCTACACACACACACTTTTCACGGGGACTTGCTACCAGACCCGACAGAAAGTGACTCCTGACCTAAGAGAGCCCAGCCAGGCCAAGCTCCACACCAGGTCAGGACCAGCCCAGGCAGGCTCTGTGCAGAGCCACCTGCATATCCTCACCACACTTTGGGAACCTCTCCTGCCTCGGCATAGCATCATGTGGAAGCCCTGGCCCAGTTCAGTCAGCTGAAGGCACAAGGCTGGGTGTGACTGTGGTTGTGCCAAGCCAGGGCTAAGCCCTGCTCAACTGGTGCTGGCTCCAAACCCCTTCCCACCTTTCCCAGGGGCCTGATTCTGCAGCAGGATGGGCTGGCAGCTGAGCTAGCTCATGCTTGGCAGTGGCAGGATGAAGGCAATGCTGCTTCCAGAACCCAGTGGAAGCAGCAGAGCACCTGTGTGCTGCTGCCTTCCAGTCCAGGCTCCCTGCCAGACTGGCTGGCTCTGCACATGCTGCCCCACCACTGTCCCCAGAGGCTGCACTCCTGGCAACAGCTCATGAGCCACTCGCTGCAGCATCGCACCCTGACCCAGAAACCCCAGCCTGACACTTCCACACCACCTGTACCACTCAAGTAGTGCTCAGTGTGTGAGGGGGTCACTGCAGAGGGATTGGGCCACAGTTATTGACACGTATCTACAGACCAGATATCAACCTGGCAACTCACACTCTCCCTTTACCTTGCTATTGACAGAAAACAGCTCCTTCTTCAGCTTCTCCGTCATCTCACTAGAGATCTTTCGAGCCTCCTTCAAATTTTCATATTCCCTGCAAAGAGACCAGAAGAGGCATGCTGTTTGTGAGAGGATTGAGCTAGAACTTCTCAGAGACAAGCCAAGGCCCTTAATTTGAAGCTCTGCAACTGCAGAGCCACCAGAGAAAACCCAGGAGACACAGAGCCCTTTAGGGAACAGAGCCGAGTGTACTGACACTGACCAACAGTGTCTCAAACATACCGCTACACCACAGGGCAGAAAAAAGCTGCATGGGATACCATGCCTGAGAACAAGGCCTGAACGGATTTTACCAGCAAAATGGAAACTGGATCCAGAGACATTTCAGTTGCCGGTGGAAAAGACAGACAGACAACAGAGCAGCCTCCATGCTGGCAGCAAATAGGGGACTTCGCTTTAAGTGACTTTTCAAAGACTTCACAATATTGGCCATGCACATTCATTCCCAATTACACCACAGGGACACTTGCCTCATTTCAGCTGTGTATCAAAGCTGCAATTATTCAACTGCCATCAGAATGGACCCAAAAAAGCTGTGGTTTTGCCCAGCAGGACCAGATGGATTTCCAGGTAGGGGAGGGCAACACTGCAGATTCGCCTTGCCAGAGAGCACTTGAGGCCACAGCTGCACAGTGCAATGCAGCAGAGGGTACAACCCAGAGCCCCTCATCCACTCATTTCCCCCCAGGCACGAGAGGGGAACAGAGGGAATTAATAATCATCACCTCATACGTGCACTGACAACTCTGGAGACAGTTCCCATGGTGACACGCATGTCAATACAGTGACAACAGGAACAGTTCAGTGTGACAGGCTCCAATCTAGGTCCCCAGGATCTGTCAGTCAAAACCCAGTGGAGGCCCAAACAGGCAGCAAGAGCCCCACAGAGCCTGTGTGCCTGCTGATACTCAGCCAAGGGTTCTCCCTGGGCACACCCAGGACAGCACGAGCCAGCTGTGCCAAGCTCGCAGCACCTACTTTTTCAGCGAGACACAGTAGATCGCAAGCTGTTCCACTGCTGCCTGCCCAACTCCCGTCTCTCTGATCATCTCCTCCACTTCGGGGCGCTGGCTCTGAAGCAACAGCTCAATCCTGCACATAAAGAAAGTACCATCAAACAGAGCTGGGAAAGAGACTGGAGCCCTGCTTCCCCCCAAGGAGCTGGTGCAGCCTAAGCTCCTGGTGCAGGCACTCTGGATGTCATGGGGGAAGAGACAACTGCCCCACCACAAGCAGGGCTTTTTCCTAGGGAAGAGTAGCACTGCATGGACAGACTAGAGAAGGGGCAGCTGTACACACATACTGCACACGTGGCTAACATCCCAGCTCTCAGGCCCTATAGCCCCATGGCTGACTCTGTTCCTGGGCTGGTATTCTGCCCCAGTGTCCTCTGATAACACAAACTGCACATAGCCACGCTCAGGGCGCTGGAGATGAGGCCAGTCTGCACACAGTACCATGCCTTACTGCTGTTTAGGGAAAGCAGCCATCTAGAAACATAGCAGGGGCAAGAGCATGGACAGTCAAGGGCAGGCCTCCTAATGCAGCCATTTCCAACCGTATGGGGTAAGATGACCCAGCCTGTGGTGGTGGATGTTGCAGCAGGCACAGCTGCACTCCCTTCCTCTCTGAGAAGGGGAGAGGTACACAGCCCAGCCTGCAAGGCCCAGGGAGAGCCCGGGATCTCACCGCTCCATGGTTCTCAGCTTGTTTCGCAGACGGCGGGCCTCCTCCTTTGAACTTCTGTTATCCTCCTGCTGCTGCTCCAGGAATTTCATCTGCTTCTGCAGAGAAGCAAGCACACACAGACCATTAGGAAGGCTCCAGGGATTGTTAGAGAAACATCCTGGCTTATGCGCACTGCGGGCAGCTGGGAGCATACATTGGCTCTTAATGCTATCACCACCTCAGCAGCCCAGGATTAAGGAGAGTTTAGCTCCCTCCCCGCTGCACCCCTAGCTCTGCTCCTTGCAAACGCAGCAGGGTCTCAGTGCTAATCGCAACATGAGTCTGGCGCTGAAACTGCATCATAGCTTCCTTTCTGCTGGGAGAGTTTGTGGAGCTGCGCAGTACCCTGTACACAGCGACAATTTGTTTTTCAAAAGCAAAGGAATCCACAGCAAGCAAACCTTGCTATTGCTTTCTCCTCCATGCACAGCTGATCCCTTTACTTTAGCCTCCCAATTCACCTTGCCATTAGCTGCCTAGAGCATAAATAGGAATGCTGAGTGGGTCTCTTCTGGGACACTTCAGCCAAACCAGACACCCACCCAGGCACTTCTCTCACCTGCCTGGAGAGGCTGCAAGGCTACTGCAGCCAGCACTTTTCCAGGCTCTCCAGCAGCAGGCAGCAGTATCAGAGAACCTCAGCTGAGCTGAAAAAGCAGATCTGCAGTGTGGCAGAGGACAGAGGAAAGCTGGCCTGAATTAGCACCGTTCCAACATATCTATGTTGTCTAGGTTTGTGCATGCCTGGGCACCTCACACAGCACCTTCAAAAGGCTCTAGGTCTGGTTTCAGCACAGTGCTGACTCCAGGGAGAGTCATGGCCAGAGACTATCACCTCATAAAGCTCCTTCCACACAGAAGTGAAAGGATTTTGGCTGCTTCCTGCCACAGAGACCAAACAGCTGTGAAACTGCTGGGACTTTGCAGACAGGATAGTGTTGCAGGCTCACATGTTGCTCTTGCTTAAGCAGAGCCCATCTTGGGGTCTTCCTAAGCAGAGCTCTCTATACTTTAGATCCCCAAAGCAGTCTTTTGTGCCAGGTTGGAGCAGAGTCCCTAGCCTCAGACAGTCTGAAATGGCAGCAAACTCTCACACAGAGGTTCAGTAGCAGCTGACAGTGCTAGCAGGACAGGAACGGCTTGCAGTCTGTGGGCTTGACCTGCGTCACAGCTAGTTAAGCCTGTATTTTCACTGCAGAAGTTTAGCGCTTTAATCTTTAATGATGCAGTATAAGACAGTGCTTGGCATTCAGCTGGGAAACCCCGTACACCACAGAAAAGATACCTCCAGGTTCCTAATCCTGCTGCCCTGCCCAGTTTTCATTAAAAGGACTTAAGCATACACTGAGGGTTTTGCAACTGGCAAGATAACCACAGAGCCTCCTCCTGAGGTGCCAAGGGAGGAAAGCCAAGAACAGAGATGTTGAGCTGAGCAGCAAGCACTAGCTTCCACTATCACAATTGTTTCTGCAGGAGCAAGGAGCATCAGAAGTATCCTGCCGCTGGTACATCTGGGATCCCAGAAGCATCTCTGGCATGACAAAGGCCCAAGTTGCCTTTACACCCAAGCAGATTGGGTATAAACCCCATAGTCAGGCAAAAAAAGTTGTGCTGGCTCACAGCAAGGCCTGTCTGGCATTAATTCCTTACTATATCTCTCCTTCTGCCCTGTGACAGCACCACATTGCTAGCACCAGGCAGAACCCCCGGACTGGTTCCTCTCAGGAAGAGCCCAGCTGCAGGTGACATACAGCAAGATGACCCACAACCCATCTACAAGCTCTCCCTGGGCCACTTGGCCTTGCAGGAACACGATGCAGTTTAGGCTATTTGGTCAGACCCGTACTCCGGTGGGCAGAGGTCTTGGAGAAGTGCAATTGACCCCTACCCTGCCTTTCAGCCTGCAGCTCAGAACCCCACCTGCCTGAACCTCATCTTCTTGGGACAGGCACGTCATCTTCACACAGTGGAGACTGCCCATCCCATCCCACCGCCAAGGCAAAGTTGCTCTGCTCACTACCAGACATCCCAACAAAGCAGCTCCTGCTTTTACCCTCTTCCACTTGCTGTTTATGCACAGTGCATGATCACACCCTGAGTCACTGCATGCTGAAACACAACAGGAATATTTGATCCCTGGACTTCACATATTACTAAACTAACCAAAGGAAAGCCCTGGCAACAGAACAGAGACAGGAGAGTTAGCTGGATCAAATCCCACTCGGCTGAAGCTTGCAACTCCCCCTCCATATATTTCAGTTTGATTTCTCCTCCATCAAACTAAGAAACTAATTTTCCTTGAATCCCGCCTGGCCTAAACCCATTTCAGAAGAACATTCTGCCACAGGGAGCCAATGTTTCAGCAATAGGGCGCTGGGGCCAGTTCCCGCTCTCGGTTCATGCTGCTACCTTTATGATCAGCGCTGCCACTTCATTAGCAAGGCTCAGTCAGCATCCCCCAGGCTGGGCTGGTGTCCCTCCCCCATTCCAGCCACTGCTGCCTTGAGCATGCAGCCACTTGTATGCAAGCCACAGGCCTGGCTTTTACACCTCTGAATCACCCCCAGGAGGAGCATACTGAGGACCTCAAGACCAGCGACACCACTTGCTTCAGATTAATAAAACAAAAATGAAAACCCAGCTACACCACCCTTCTGTCATTCAGAGATCAAGCAGACAGGAGTCTTGAGGCACCAGACCCAAAATCCCACCAGCACAATCTCTTTATTAGCAGGGCCTGCAGAGATCTTCAACAAAACTAACACCGACTGTGCAATGGTTAGTGTTAAAGTCCTGCCAGGGACAGGAAAGGTACCTTGAGAGAGGAGCACAGCATCTCTGTCTCTCCCAGCACCTTCTGGAGCGACTCTATTGTGGCATTGCGCACATCCAGAGCGTCCCTCAGCCCATCCACAAGAGCCTGGCATTCCCGCTTTTCTTTCTCTGGAAAAGGAAAAAAAAGAAAAAGGTCATGGCCCAGTAACCCAGACTTCAGCTGCCCCACAGCAGCAGGAGCACCACAAACAGACACTGCTTGCAGCCTCAGGCTGCTAGGAGTTGGCTATTCCTGCAGAGAGCCATTTCCCTAACTGCTGTCTGCACCAGGGACTGTACTGAGCAATTGCTTCTCCCAGTGCCAGCAGGCTTCAAGATTTTCTTTACTAAAGATAACAAGTTCCCTTTAATAGCATTCCAGTGCCAGCCCTGCATTAAGCTGATGCATCTTAACTCTTGCATGCTCTCACAGCCAGGCTTGCACCGGGAAAACTGTTCTCAAGTTACACCAAGCTGTCACAGGGCTGGAGAGCTGACCCCTGAGCCCATCCTCTCCACATGGAGCATTAGGTGCAGGGCAGCCCTTCAGGGGCCAGCAGGCAGCTGCGTACAGTGATCCACCATGCTGCTGTGTCACCACACTGCTGCAAGTACCCTCACCACGGCACCTATGTCAGAGGGCAAGAGGCAGTAAAGCAGAGCTCTGCTTGGCACTAGGGACTTCACAGGACATGCGACAGCTTAAGTAGATTCCCCAGAGCGCCCGCTTTTTGTGGATCACAAAACCTGAGTCCTGCAGTCCCTCCCCACACAGGCAATCCAGGAACAAAGCACATGCCTCTGACCACCAGAGAGAAGGTGGTGGAAAACACCACCAGATTTCAATTTGTTTTGTGGAGAGAAGGCAAGAACAGCTCACACAGCAGCAACCACCATCGGGAGCTGACAGACCTAAGCAGGGAACAGCCAGCATCACTGGAAAGCTCAAAGCAGTTGGGCAGTGAGGGAAAGCAGCAACCTCTCCATCTAACCCTGCCAAAGGCAGGGTAAAGTCTTCAGCTCAGCATCTCCTGTCTTTGCTAAAATCGTCTGTGACTCCAGCCTGACAATAGCGGAGAGCCAATCAGTGCCTTTCCAAAAAGCTTTTCTCCTTGCAAACGATCCAGTTTCAAATTGTGCCACCATATCCCATGGAAGCATGACCTGCAGTGCACTTTCACTGCTCAATCAGACAGTAAAAGAGCCACGTGGGACTGGGAAATAAGAGAGGAACATATCCCAGCAGAAGCATGCAGGTGGCTAGGGAAACGCATTTCTTTCTTAGCAAAGCATTTTTTCTCTATTGATCTGAATAACCCTTCCTCACCAGAGGCAGCACAGCCTGGAGACACTCCCTTGCATTTGCAAGTACTCCACATCTAATAAAAGAGTTAGGGCTTCCCCCTCCTTCACTCCCAGCTGCCCAGAGGCAGATGGCAGGAGTCAAACCTCCCCATGCTGCAGGAGTGAGTCTTCAGCTCTTTCAGAGTGCCTCCCACAGCACCTGCTGGGTCTGCTCAGAGCTCAGCACCTCTAGAGCCATTTGCAAGCTGATCAGAGACTGGCAATTACACAGCTCCTCTACAGCGCACAGCACAGAGCACATCTTTAAGTGAAGAATTTATACACAAGAACCACCAGAGAGCAGAGTGCCCACAGCAAAAAGAGGCAGGAGGCGGAAAGGAGCTTCTCATTTCCAATATGAAAAGAGAATGGGACAAGGGAATGTCAAATCCAACCTCTACTCACCAGAAGCCGAGAAGATGAGCAGGCCTTCGAGCAGTTTTTCTTGGATAACTTCCTAGCAAGAATCCCAGCCACCTTCCCCAGAAGATCTGGCTCTCTACCAAGTCACTAAACTCAACCAAGCTGGCAAGAGAACGGGCCTCAGAATAGAGATGTGCAGACCATCCAATTCTGCTCTCAGGCTAAGGACTGAATCCTCAATCTACTGGCTATTCATGTCTGTCTCGTGCATGTAGGGAAGGCAGAGGAAAGACAACTCTCGGGGCGTGGGTGAGCCCCCAGCATTCTTTAAAGATTTTTTTTTTTTCCCTTCTGCCAGTGTGTCTTTGGATTTCTGTCACTCAGACTGACATTTTCCTTTCGCTGCTCATGACTCATGTTCTGATGACAGGCTGCCTACAGATGATGCTTAAAACCCATCGACAAGTCTCCAGGGCTTTTGCTTTTCCTGCCTCCCTCAAACATCCTCTAAAATTAAAGATGGGAAAATGGAAGTGCGCACACACACACTGAACTCCGTCTGCTCTTCGCGCGACACATGTGGCACTGCAACAGCCAAACAAATCCAAAACCTTCCCACTGCTGCTTTTGGGCACTACTTTTACCCTTTCATCTGTTAGGGGGAATGAGCCTTTGCCATATGCAGCTGTGAATTTCCCAGTGAGCAAACCAAGGGTTGTGCTCTCAGCAAGCCTGCTCGAGATATAGCTGTTCTGCAATTCTGTAGCTTGTGATTAGGAAGAGGGGCAAAAAAAATTGCATATATATCTCTAAACTTGCACAGAACACCCCAGTTACAGCAGAGCTGGGCCAGACTGCGGACTCTGGCTCTGTCATACAAGCTTTGTACAGCTTTGGGTGGTCTCACTTCAGAAAAAGCTCTGAAAAAACTGCTCCAGCAAAAGAGTTTACAGCCTGCTCCATGCCCTCAGCTTCAGAGGGGAGTGGGCTCTGCATAGGGTTTTCTCAGGCCTGGGCATGCCACCTAGCATAGACAGAGCCCAGGACCCACAGACCATGGGCGGCTGATCCCCAGCAGGCAGCTGGCACTCACCTTTCATGGAGAGCTGAGCCTTCACCTTGTCCAGTTCATTCTGAAACACAACACAGAAAACCCGATTAGGAAACACAGTGCAGAGGAGCTTTCACCAGATCTTAAAAGGACCCAAGAGGTTTCTCGGCAGGATGTTTGTGCCAGCTAGGTGCTAAGAACAGAATGCAGTAACAGCAAGCACCGAGTTACAAGCAAGTACTATCGCAGGGAATGCAAAGAGCACCTCCAACTGGCACTCTTCAGGGGGAAAAGAGAAGAACCCAGTTTCATCTTAGCCTTGTCAACCTTGTGTTTCTCACACTGTCAGTCATCTTGTTTTAGCTGAATAATTTTGGAAGGCTCTCAGGGAAACACAGGAAATCAGACAGGAACAATTTTTATAATGTTTTACCTAAACAAAGCAATAAGGCAGGGATGTTGCCAGACTAACTGGATTGAGAGTTGCTTTGAACTGAAGTGAACTTTAATCAGGTGCAGGTGGGAGACAGGAGAGCATGTCCAAACATCTGAAAAGGTAACCAAGCATACAATCAAAAGGCACCAACTAGCATTTTGTCTGACACTAAAGTCACTGCAGTTCAGGCTGCTGGTATGAGCTAACAGCTCAGTCAAATGGCCACAAGCAGATCACCGATAAACCAATCCATACCACACCAAACTGAGGATGCATAACGTCTCCTGGGTGCCACAAGGGTCTGAGGAACATCAAATGTTTCCAACGCCTTCTTTAAGGATCAGAAAGAGGCAGCAAATGCCCCACAGTTTAAATTATACATAACAAAGTGATATGACTTATGAACACTGGCAAATAGCCAAAGGAAATGTAGAGAGGTTACAAAGAGAGGTATCTATATATAATATATATATATTTTAAAAAAAAACAGAGCAAGAGAGAAATATATACAGGAAAGAGTCAACAGAAGATGACTTAAAAAGCTGTGTTAGAGAACTGCAGAGGAAAGCACATAACAAGTCAGGCAGGAACTGCAGTGGAATAAAACCACAATAAAATGCCAACACAGTACTGAAGCAGAGCACACAGATCTGTGCAACCCGGAATGCTACATGCAAATCTGAGCTGAGAATAGCACTACCAGTGACCATGGATCTGACTGGAGCAGAGCAAAGCTCTGCTAGTGACAATAAAGGCAGGAAAGAGAATATGGGATGTAAAGCTCGATAAGCAAAAGGGACTAAACACAAAGCCTAGCAGAGCTGACTTGGATTTGCCCCCGGGGGTACAACAGCTGGAGGGCTGACATGGAATTAACTCTGCTGCAGGAACTATTCTGGAGTAGCTTCCTCAGAGTCCTATTCAGGAACGATTAGTGAGCTCACAAGATGTGCTAATTAGCATGATAGCAAAGAAATCCTGGGCTACTGCGGGCAGCTATGTAACATTACCTCATTCATCAACTTAATCTGAAATCCCTCATCCTCCACCACAGCTCCTAAAGACTGCTCCCAATCTTCACTCCTGTGATAGAAGCTCTCCTCTCTCTGCCAGCCTAAGTTACAAGACCACATTTTCCCAAGATCAAATGAGTATATCCTGACACAAAGAGACAGCTGTCCTCCCAGGTTTCTACCCTCCCCAGCAGGTTTACAGGCAGGAATCCTCCACCTCCTGCCTCCTTTTCAGCAAGCTGAACAAACCAAAGTCTCCTAGTCTCCTTTGGAAGGACTCAGCTCCCCAGATCACAAGCGACTGGAAGTGGCAGGTTCCAGATGGCCTCACCGAGGTGTTACCCCCCCAAACTCACACCTTTCTTGCTCTGGACACAGCCACACAGAGACTGTTCTGACCACTGAGGACCATCTTTAAGAGCAATACAGGATAAACCCAGGCTCAGCACCCAGAAACATTTGGACGTGTCACAGTGTTCAGCCTGTGGTCTGCAGCTACTCCAAGGAACCAAGTTCCCTCCAGTGTTTCAGTTGAAACCAATGCCTGGTGGTAGGAAGCAAAGCAGCCCCAGAACTCCTTTGACTGTAAACATTTCAAAGCAGGAGCAAGAGTGAGGAATAGTACCAAGATAATCACTATGCAAAAGATAATTTGGATAATTCCGCAACAACAGGAAAGTTTCAGATTATGAGGGAGCTCTTCCAACCCCTTATAACTGGGTACAGAACACTGGTTCTCAGAAGAGCATCCCAAGCTTGTCTCTACAAGATGACAAGCAGACCACAGCTATGCGTTTGGCTTTCTAGCACACTGAAGCACACTCCCTCACCCCAGTCCAACCTTTTCATGGCAGGAGGCCAAATGCTCATTTCAGGACATCTGCAGGCTGCACTGATACAGCTCTAGTTGATTACGGAGCCAAGTATCACTCTACAGCCAGGCTCTTGGAGGGACAGGCAGTGGATGGGAACAAACCCTGGATTTGGGGGCTTTTTCAGGTGAAATCACTTCCGGCTGAGGAAGTCACCAATTCTTTTTGCTGACAGAACTCCAGTCTAAATGGACATTAAATCCCACCCATGATGGTCACCCGTGTTCTTAAGGTGCTCCATATCCTCCAGAAACAAGGCAGCACTCAACATGGAACTGGTGACAAACCAGCATCAGCCCAGCAGCAACCCAAATCAGTGCACAGGGCAGTAAATACCCATGCAAACTACGCTAATCTACGCAGAAAATATTTGGTTCTTTCCCATTAGACAGTGACCTTGGCTCTCATTAGGAAAGCTGCACACTCAGGGCTAGACGTTGCTCTTGACAGCCACACAACAAACTTTGCAGGAGCATGAGGAGTTACCATCAAGCTTGTTGTGCAGGAGCAGCTCCACAGTCCGGCCCTTGAGCAAGGCAGCAGTTCTTCAGCACAGCCTGCCTGAAGGGGAAAGCTGGGGGAACCCGTCTTAGATCCTGGGGTAGGGGTGAGAGGGAACAGGAAGCTTTTCTAGGGCAATTTTCTCCAGTCAACCCATTTCTGAGTCATCCATCTATTTACACTTGTGAGAACAGATCTGAATAGGTACTAAAGGCAATGTTTATCCGCTCCGAGGCATTGCTTTGCTTCTAGGGCACACAGCTTCAAGTGCCCAGAGATGCTTTTTCATTTCCTCAGCACACATACTTTGGCCTTCAGTTTCTTTATTAGCAGTCTTTGAGAATGACAGTGCTACTGACATTACAGTCTGGCTGGCTTTATTTTAAAAACATACGATATACATATAGCATTGTCATGGCAACTGCTAATTATGGTAATTGCTGCACATGCTGATTCTAAACACAAGAGGGTACAAGCATCCCATTATACCAAGGTCAACCAATTACTTTTTCTTTTTGGAACAGATAACTCCAAGACATAAGGAGCCATGCTTCATCCACACTAAACAAAAGAGAAGAACACAGAACAGCCACTCTGCATTCATCCCTTCTCACCCACAGCTCTCCACACCTAAGGGTGGTACTTGGAGAACATCACCCAGCACCCCAGCTCCAGCCAGCGTCCCCCCCTCAGGGTCCCAGCCTCAGCACTGCTAGTGCAGCTTCAGGCAGTCCCTTTCCTAATTTCTCTTGGGGAACCATGACTTTAACACCACCCTGCCCCAATTCCTTACAGTCTGTGCAAACCAACCTACCTGCACAGAGGTGGCACTTCTAACAGCCCCTTCTTTCCAGAGGGGTTAGCAGGGCTCGCACCCAACCAAGCCACAGACACTGGCACCTGTTCATTGCATTTGGGATTTTCCTTCTCCTGCCTTTTGGAAAAGCTGTGTAACCTCATCCCTAAGGCTTTGAGACCAAAGGGAGAAGCAGCAATTGGATGTTTATTTGATGCTGCTTCAGGAGGTTTCTAGGTAAGGTGAGAACCAGAAGGAAGAGCAGTGAAGTAGAGGAGGCTACTTGAATCACCACATGGGATTTGGTCAGGGGAACTCTTAACCCACCACATGGAGACCTCCTTACAACAGAGCTGAGACTGGGCAAGGACCAAGAGGAAGAACAGAGACAGGAAGGAGACACTGATGTGCTTCAGGTCTGAAACATGAGCACAGCACAGAGCGCACCAGCTCAGGAAGCAGCCGTTAGCAGAGGACTGGCAGCCCAGGCCACGCTTCCAAGATGCTGAAGCATCACACAATGGAAGAACCCCCCAGTCAAATTACCTGTAAGGTCTCTGCATCTGGTGCTGCCTGCTCCTCCAGGGCAACATCAAAAAACAGCTTACTGATGATGTGTCTTTTGCTGACCTAAACATAGGAGACAGAAGAGGTTGATGGGCACAGATATGGAAACACAATGCATATGGAAGACAGATGGAGGGGAGAAGGTACCATCTTGTCACAAGGCCATGAAAGGCAATTCAGATCACATGCTCGACGCCATTAGTGACAATGCTCTGCTTTGGCTCATCAGCACAGCAGCAGACCCCCCACTCAGTTTTGGGAGTGCGACTCCAGCCAAGCTCCTGAGCTGCAGCAGAAAGATTCAGGCATTTCTGAATCAAGCGCAGTCTGTTCTCTGGCAGCTAAGGCCCAAGCAGCTGACGCTGAGCTAACATGATGCCAAATCCTAAGACAGAAGTACGTGCTGCTTTCTGCAGGCAGAAGGTGCTGTAATTGAATTTGATAGCTCTCCACACCTCCCCCATGCAGTTACAGCTTTGTGTTTTAAGTATTATATACAGTCATGACACCAGCTAATTGCATAGTTACTGCTACATAAGATGTTATTTCGCGATAACTCCATGGTAACCCAGAGATGTAAGAGGCAGTGAAGAACAGAGGGAATCAACAAGTCAGGGAAGGAACAAGGGCCAAGACCTTGAGAGGAAGAAAGAAGCACGAACACGGAACAAGCCTAAGCTGCAGCTGGCTAAAAACCTACATCTGAGTGTGAGGCAACATCTCCTGCAGTCACTACATGCCAAGACCTACTGGCGGCGTCAAGGCTGGTGACACAAGGGACTTCCAAGAAGTTCAGGTCCCAGTTAAGCCACTGGATCCCCAAGCCTTGGCTTCCCATCTCAGAAGCAGAGCACATCCTTCCTTCCCTCCCCAGCCTTTGCTTTTCTCAACGCAGGGCCGAGTGCTGCAAAGCAAGAACTCATAAGGACCATACGCAGCAGACTGGGCTGCTTACCTGACAGCGAGCAGCAGGGTACTCTAGAAACACAAGTCAGATATCGTGATTAACCCCTTCCAGCCCTTGCTATCATTATGCCAATACTTACTCAGCCTAAAAGCCATGAAAACCCGGAGACCCTTTCTAGAGAAGCTACAATACGGACAGCAGCAAGGCACCCTTGGAACCACCCCTCTGATCAGAAGGGTTGCTGAGGGGACTTCACCCTCTAAGCCTTTGGGGAGAGCCGCAAGTGACAGAAAACTCTCTCTGCTTCATACCGTGAGCCTTTTCCTCGTATCACCAGAGGCCTAGGCCACAGCTCCTCGGTGCTGTTTGCAGAGCATCGTGCCATAGAAGTAGAGAGGAGTACGTAGGTGATGGTTTTACCTGAATTCTGCACTGCGGGCAAGTCCGGCTTGGTGCTGTGTCAAACCACTGGATGAGACTGAGAAAGGAAAAGAAAACATACAGTAAATCCTTAAAATCTGGGAGCGCTGCTCCCAGGGGCTACCCTCCAACTCACCAGGAGACAGCAGGTCATGACTCCTTTTTACAAACTAAAAACAGGAATGCAAACATTTAGTCCAGAGGTGCAGCTAACAGGAGCACCGTGTTCCAGCACGCGCACTCTACCTTTGCCTCGGAGACAATTCCCAGCTGAATTTAGCGTGCGAGCTTATCTTTGCCAGGGCAGAGTCTTTACAGAGCTCAGATCTCCCTAGGAAAGAGCCTTTGAACAACTGTAGCTTCGCAGGAGCGAACGGATCCACACACAGAGCAGCACAAGAGCTGCTATATCAGGATATGACAGCCGAGAGACCCCCAGTTTGGTCAGCTCCAAAGGGTGCCGCTGACACCGAACACGCATCCGCAGAGGGAGGCGGACCGAGCCAGTCTCTGCTCCGAGATGATGAATGCAAACCTGTCGGGCTCCCCAGGAGAGCTACTAATGCGTTTTGCAACCAAGCCATCACATCACACTCAGAACAGTTTATTTTTGGAGCAGGGTAACAATCTGGAGCTGGCAGGTTACCTTTGGAAGCTCTCCCTCCTCTGTCGGTTGTTAGAGGAAAGCGAGCCCGAGCTGCACCACTGGTGAAGAGGTGACCATCGCACCTGTGAGCGGTGGTCCCTCTCCAAGTTAGCCAGCCAGAAAAGCAAACGCCCGCTCCCTCCCCACACACAGAATTTATTTCCTCAGAAGAACCGTTTCCTTCCAACACAAACGCTCGCAAAACAGTTCCAGCAAAAGCATGAAATCGCCTGGGAGGCTTCGCTCGTCATCTAACACCGCTCCTTCCAGATAAACACCCTGTGTAGGAGCGAGCTGCTGGCACCGGCCCTCCCGGAGAAGGGCGACCGCAGGCAGAGGAGTGACAATGCAGCCGAGGCTCCCGCGGCAGCTCCGTGAGCCCCTCTAAATCCCCGCGCAGCCGAATCGCTGCCGCTACGGCTGCCAAAGCGGCCAGGGCCCCCGCCGAGGCAGAGCCCTCGGCAACCGGGCCCCAGCGGGGAGGGGGAGAAGCGGGTCACGGCAGGTACCGGCAGCCCAGCGAACAGCCAAAACCCCTCGGAGTTGGGGGGTGGGGGGAAGCAGCCCGGGGCGAGAGGGGATGTCTCCGGGGGAAGGGGCTGCCGGGCCCGGCCAGGGCCCCCCGTCCCCGTCCCCCCCAACCCCGGGCCCCGCCGGCGGCGGGGCGCTCACCAGGCGCGGTGGAAGGTGTGCCCGCAGGGCACGGCCGCCACGTCCCGCTCGTTGTCGAAGAAGTCGGAGCAGATGGTGCAGTGGGCCCGGATGGGCATGGCGGGGCCTCGGCCGGCGCCGGGGCCGG